CGTTTTGTACTAGCAAATTCTGTGGAATAATCAGATATGAAAGGTTAAATCTTACTCTTCCATCATTTTCTGTTTCTGAGTAAAACTGGATTCAAGATGAGTCTTCAATTTAGACAGCGTTCGGTAATATTAACTTTGTCTCGACCTTTAACACTTGGGTTGTGTGTTCATACCATCTAAATCCATGCAGTCTATAGCACTTTCATAGACTTGTATAGATACATCAGCAAGTGTACTAATGTCCCAACCGCTTGACCCTCATTGCTTAAAATCTTGAAATTGGTCAGTTGTCTAAATACTTTCGAAGTAACTGTAACAGTAAAAGTGGATGAAACCTACCTCGCCTCCGGTTAGTATTATGCCCGTTGTCCATGGACCGTCTGTAAGGCTCATTAAGAGACGGTTACAGTAGACCTTTACTGGGGAGGGTGGTTTGTCCAGAGGTTCTTTGGAACTCCTCCTTCATGTACAGACGATTACTAGCTATATGAAAATGAAAACGCATCAGGCGTACGTTTGTCAAGAGGCTTATTCATAGAGAAAACTGTACCCAAAAAATGGCGGACTTGGCCCTCGATACTCCAAGTGGTACGAGGCCAAAACCGATACACTTACGTTCGTTCCGGTTCAGAATAATTTTGCAACATTACAGTTACACTGTGAAACTGACGGGGTTCAAAGACATCGTGGCAGCTTCAAATATTATTCCAAGGCTTCACTACGCATAAGGGATAGCATTCACAGCTAGAATCGTACCTCTGAAACGAAAACGGTACAACTATGCCGTCTTTCTTCCAGCTACACTGAGTTTGTGTTTCTGTATGTGCATGTGAACGTGTGGCCGTATAAATGCTTTTGCATGCGCGTATGTGTTTGACCATCATCTGGCGCCATTTTCTTAGGCAGAACGTCTCTGGTTAGTCATGTTCATAGAATGCTTTCAATGGTGCTGCTGCGTTACATAATGAACGGTTCCTCTTCGAAAGTAGATCTGCCTCTACCTTGTTTTTGAGGTCGCATGCCTGCCTTCCGGCTGACATCTGCCACATCTTCGCTTCCACGTGACACACTCGCATGCTGGAATAAGTGATTTCTGCTCAACCCAGTTAATGTAGTGAGGCTAATCTCTGATGTCACCTATACCTGAAAGAGAACGGAATGATTCCTTGCATGGACCTGTCATTTGGCGTTCATAATGAGTCGAAGCCAACGCTGCTGAATTCCATTCAACCGTCGTTCTTGCTCCTGCGTTGGAACAGTTGCCTCCATGTCGTTCAATAAGCCGACATGATGAGGGCACACGAAAGGCAAATTTTTCTAAAAATGGCTACCCTCTCTCAGCCAAAATATTTGACGAAGTCACAAGTTATGAGGGACTCATCAGACACCACTGACCTACCAGTGGAACAGAAATGGGAAACCATGGAAAAAGTCGATCAGGTGAGTATCTCGGCTCGGTCAACTCCAACAAATGCCACCGTTGAATGAGAGTTAAATATGAAACCACCCATGCAGCGGCAGATGGCACGCTATTTCGCGATATGTACTGAATTCAGACTAACCGATGCCTGACACATTTCTGTACTGTATGAGGACTAAGTGTAATTAACAGCATTTTATAGCGATCAATTACTGTGCTGAAGAGGACATATGCGGTATCAACGAGGTTTGCCAGGACCTGATTGGCAGCTATCGATGTCAGTGCATCAAAGGATACACACGTGTCGGCTCCTCCTGCGTTGACGTAAACGAATGTGAATTATGGTGCCCTTGCCAACGTGACCAGAGGTGCGTCAACACTATTGGCAGCTTTGAGTGTCTCTGCTTGAGCGGCTACAAATTTGAAAATGGACAGTGCGTCGGTAATCGATGAATATAAATACAAATTAGGGAAACTTTTATGTATATCGTTGCATTCTATGCAGATATAGACGAATGTGCGGAAAGTATGCACAACTGCAACCCTGAAACTCAGGTCTGTCAGAACTGGGTCCCCGGATTCAGCTGTCAGTGTAAATGGCCGCAATATTTTCTGCAGCAAGGTCACTGTGTCAGTAAGTGATTCAGTCTGTCACTTCATACTCAATCGTCGAAGTACGTTCAGACGTAATTATTTGTACTATGCTTCATATATAAATTACCATGTCTTGTGCGATAGTCCCTCACTCTACCACTGTGGTGCTGGGGTTGGACAGTGACGCAATGAATTAGTGGTTTGCTATGTACTTTAGAAGTTCCAGGTACAAACATCGGAGACGGCGTAAATTTTTCCTCGCCAGCTACTGATTCTCTTGAACAAGGAGTTCGCTATATTGTTCTTCGGTGCAGTCAGTCGAAAAACGCGCAGCAGGTATTTGACAAGTGGAAAATAGTGTCAATCATGTTTCTGGGGTGGTCATGAC